TAGTGTCAAGATAATAGAATTATGGATTACAGCCAGGATATAGCTCAGCGGCTCAAAACCTGCCTGGCAAGCACAGGGTCCTGAGTTTGAGTCCCCGTACCAAAAAAAGAAAAGAGAATTGTGGATTACAAGTAACTGTCTTCTGCTTTATGCTTTTGTATTTTTTCTTCTTATTCTATAATTGACATGTTTTTGTAATTAAGAAATTGTTTTTGTAATTAAGAAATTTAAATAGGAGGATAATTTGTTCCCATAAAGTAAAATATTTCTATTCCTCTCTATCTTAGATAAATTAAGCCCTAATGTGACTGTCTCTTTTAGAACTCTTCCCATTGTTGTTATCATTCCAATTTTATCTCATGATCCTGACCTCCAGGTGAACCCCTGAGAGTTATGATTTTCGGCCCCCTTGTTGTAACTTGTGTTTATTGTTCTGTCTCCCTGCTCTGCCTCCACCTCCATTTACAAACTAATCCTTTTCTCATTTTTTCCACACAGAGATCAAATCTCAGCATGTTCAGGTATTGCCTTGATTTTCTCCCCGTCTAATATTTTCTCCCCTTGGGAATTTGTAAAAACCAACTTCAAACTTGACTTATATCCATCATCACTGGTTACTTAGATCTGGATATTTTCCATATTTTGATATTGAGTTTTGAAATTAAACATCACAGACACATTTTTTCCCTGGAGCTAATGCTGTGAAGGCATTCATCATGAATGCACAATTAACATATTGGGTGCAGTTTAACTATCCATGCTGCACAGACATTGTTTTTACATCATCCCACATCCATGATGTATTTGCTAAGTTAAATATTTTGACTGGTGTTGAGGGAGGTTGTTTAAAATATTTCTGGAACATCAGTGGTGTGAATGGGGTGGGCCAGGGATGTTTCTGATGTGAATAATAAAGTCCTTATTCTCTGACACAGGAATTATTTGTCTTGCAAGAATCCATAGAACTGTGCCAGGTGAAAGTGTAGTTGTGATGGGGATTCCTTGGGAAGCA